CCTCCGAGAATTTCCTTGCAAGCTGGACGCTGCTCTCGGCTCGTGTAGTCAGGGTGAAGATCACGTCGACTGGGACCCTTCTGACGTTGTACAGTTGCTCAACTGGAACTACTAAACTGTACTGCGACTTGATATTCAAGGGCCATCTCCGGCAGACGGCAATGGTTAATGTTGAAATGCAGAATGCAGAGGAAGAAGAGAAAGTTCAGGATAACAAATCCCTCACTCTGCCCTCTGCCTCCTTCTGGGTTTTTTAACAAGCTCTGCTTCAAGAGGATCACTCTGATAAGCCGTGCTGCGGCGAGATACATACCACATTTTACTGGTGTGTACAATGTAACAGCTCTGTTACACTCTCCCTCATCACCAATGATCTCCGGAATGGGTGGCCCCAAAAGAAGCATGATGATGTATCGGATGTATTGGTCAGGGAGGGAATGCCTTCATGAGTCCATCAGGCTTCCGAGCAGTTTTGGTGGCACCGACCGGGGAGGAAGGCCACACGAATGAGGCTCATGCATGAGGCTACATATTTATTTACATTCTGTTTTTTTTACTGACGAAGAATTTTGATTGTTCACTTTTTGCATGAGGGAATCAAGCAGCATGTTTCGCGAGATAAGGTTGGCAAATTGAGTGTACACACTTGAATGGGCAATCCCATTTCATTAAGGTGGATGGGTGTCAATCAGCAGGATGGTGTGATGGATCACGAGGAGGCTGATGACCAGCTGGTTGGTAAAACATCGGGTTCTCGTTGTGTGCACCATCTGCTTGACTGCCACGTGTTCATCATGTAGCTCCAAAATCTGAAGCGAGCCCGCGCTGGGAGATCTACATTCATGTGTACCCCCCGGGTGGACTGACTCACAAGGAACTCCATTCTTTCATCGGCTGGTCCACCAATAACCGACATGGACGCTCAGAAGGACCAAACCAAGGAACACGAGGAATATCAATACCTCAACCTCATCCGCCATGTCATCCATCACGGCCAACTCCGACCGGATAGAACGGGCACCGGAACGTATGTCTGATCAGATTCACCTTATCGATTGAGCTTGAATGGACTGTTGTCAAAAGATTAAGATCAAACAATAACTGAGCTAACGGAATCATCAAAACCATCACCATAGTCGATCGTGTTTCGCACCCCAACAGTTGAGATTCACCCTATCCGATTCCACCTTACCATTAATCACCACCAAGAAGGTCCACACCAAATCGATCATCCACGAGCTACTCTGGTTCATCCGAGCCTCCACCTCGACCCAAGACCTGAGTGCGGCGGGGGTCCGGATCTGGGACCCAAATGGCTCGCGATCATACCTCGATTCCGTCGGCCTGAAGGAGTACGAGACCGGCACGTTGGGCCCGATCTACGGCTTCCAATGGCGCCATTTCGGCGCCTCCTATCAGGGGCCAAACCACGACTATTCCGGACAGGGCGTCGACCAGTTGAAGAACCTCATCGACTCGATCATCAATCGTCCTACCGATCGAAGAATGATTCTTACCGCTTGGAACCCCGCTGCTCTCCATGAGATGGCCCTACCACCATGTCACATGATGTGCCAGTTCTACGTGACTTTGTCCGTCAAGATATTCGTTTATCGTATTCAACAAGATCACTTACAAACTTGTTGATTTTTTTTTTTTGGACGTTGACTGGAAGACAGACCGGACGAAGACCATCCCAAGCCCAGATTATCGGCGATTCTCTACCAACGATCAGCAGATCTCGGGCTCGGTTTGCCCTTCAACATCACCTCTTATGCATTACTAGTCCACATGATCGCCCAGGTCACCAAGACTGAGCCGTTCGAACTGGTCATCCAACTCGGCGATGCCCACGTCTACTCTAACCATATCAAGCCTCTCTCAGAGGTCCAGTTGACGCGGACTCCAAACCCGTTCCCTAAGATCAAACTCAACCCGTCGGTCACTGACATCGACCACTTCAAGTTCGAAGACTTCCAAATTCTCGATTACTCTCCTCATCCTAGAGTCGGTAAGTCTTGTCCCCCCCTCTCTCTCTTGTCTTGATTACTCTGGTTGACTCTGTCTCATCTTTTACGCTCTTTTTTGTTCTGCTCCCGATTTCATTCATTTGTCTTCCTTGATGATTGACCACCCTCAATAGAAATGGAGATGTCAGTTTAGGATCCGGACTTTCTTGTTCCTTCCGATTGGAATGATCAAATGGAACGAAAGGATTGCTTGTATCAATAGAACTCGAGAGATGTGAATCATGAATCAGATGTCAAGAATGCACAATGAACCGTTGGAAAACGTACCTAAATTGGTTGTTCGATTATGTCTGATGGATGAAGATTTCCATCCTCCCTTTTCGTGTCCACGGCTTTCAAAAGCCATAAGGACCGGAGAGCAGCATGTGATTAGACGATGGTGATGGCCCAATGGTCAAGGGTATATCTTTATTTTGATTGGTATGCTTACTGCAAAGTTCCTGGCCACCTTTGCCATCCCATTCTTCCATCCAAGTTCGACATTCAAACTCTCGCTGTATTTCAGCTGACAATCAATCACAACAACAAGAGAACTCCACTAGTGACTTCTGCTTGTCCTGGCCGAGGTCACTACAATTCCTTCTCGCCCTCTATGACACTTGCTGATCTGATGGAAGTGATAATATACATACTAGTACTTTTAATGACATAGAATGTTAGGCTGAAGAAGGATGGTGCGTTGCCTTACATACACAGTCTGCTTGTGGTTGCTGGGCTTCAAGCAAGGTATGAGTCCGTCGAATCGGAGCGACGCATCCTGTGGCATATGCCTTGACCAGTAGTACTAGCCAGTTAAGGCCGGCCGCCATCGCCATATGCCAGCAGCCAGTATGTATGTGTCCTTATGACAGATCCCACATCCTGCCAGTGCTATAGGTTTCAGCATACATGCCTGTTAGGTTGACTTATTGTTTACAAGCTGATGTCCTTGGTCAGATTTGTCAAATTTTATCTGGGACAGATCGCCAAAGCCTGGTGAAGTTATCTCACACACGCTGCATAGTTTGTGAAGGTTACTGTTTTCAGGGATGTGACCTGTTTGTGACAGGCCAGTGTCAGCTCCCCTTCATCTTGGCTTGTAGATCCCTTGGGCTGAAATGTCTCCAGATTTCAAGCCATCGATCATCGCTGGTTAATACATCTCGGGCAGCCATCGTGTCTGTATGCATCGATTATAAATACAACATCCCCCCAACAGTAAAGCACATCGGACTCTTGGAAAATGTGCGGTCTCTGAAAAAACCCAGATCCCGATGAACCAGTAGTCCAGTCAATCCCGGTGTCTTCCTGAGCGAGAAAGTGCTACACTTTTGATATTACAGTTGACGCCTTTGATCCGGTCATCACGATCCCAGTCAACTTGTTTATTTGAATTTTGCGGCCCTCTCTCGCTTCTCAGCTGTATGAACTAAAGACAGTTTCTTATTTGTCCATCAGATTCCAATAATCCTTGTTGTACCGTATTAAAAATAAGTCGAGTCTTTTTGAAGCTACACCATCGATCGATTGGCGAGACTACGTACAACAACTTGACTCTATCGATTTCTGCTTGGTTTTCCGTTCTAAAGCTTCCAGCTACTCCCCCGACTAGCCCCAGCAATACATATTCACCTTCATCGTCTGATTCTCAGTACCCGTAGTCTCTTTAACCGCTGACCTTGACGTCCGTAGTCGCAGGCCAAATCCCGAAGAAACTCCAATCTACATACAACATACCCAGCTTGCTCTCTTTTCCCATCCCCACCAGCATCACCCCAGATCCTTCCTTCCGTGCCGATTCCTGATGGCTCCTCGATCACCACAGAGAAGACATCTCCCTTATCTCTCCTCAAAGCTCACCAAGCATGATATCGTCCCTCTGATGTCGCCTCCAGCTTCCTCCTCCGACTCCTCCTCGGGCTCAACTAACTCTGCAGCCCCCACTCATTCTTCCTCTTTCCCGTCCCTCAACAACAGCTTGACCATCGATTCCCCCAAGATTCACCATCATCAAAAGGCTCACGCGGAACCCAGCTCTACCCAGGCCAACCCGCCCCTCGCCAACAAAGATTTTGAAACTCCGGTCCTCCTCTCACAGCTCAAACTTGACCCGGCGCCCACCAAGCCTCCAGAGATCAAACTCGACCACCAAAAAACTGCGCCCGAGAAATCCCCGGCTCAGCTCACTACTCCAGAGAACGTGGTGATCGATGATGAGGAGAAACCGAGTGACTATGATCTTGGTGGCTATCATCCCGTCCAGGTCGGCGAACGATTCCATCAGGATCGATATCTCATCGTCCGCAAGCTCGGCTGGGGTCATTTCAGCACGGTCTGGTTGGCCCACGATCAACAGTTGAGTTTATCTATCCAATCCTGACTCAGCCCGACCGGTACATATGTACATCATCAACCTCAGGGTGATCGGGGAGACAATCATCATCTTTTGATCGCCGCATACATCTGGCTTACCTCACACCACTCACCCCACCCTTTGAAATTTTCACATGGCAGGCTCGACCGTCACGTTGCCCTCAAAGTGGTCAAGTCAGCCAAGCACTACACTGAGACCGCAGAGGATGAAATCAAGCTTCTCGAGCGCGTCTTCACAGCCAACCCCACCCATCTTGGCTATGGCCATGTGGTCTCACTCCTCGATCACTTCAGACACAAGGGTCCAAACGGCACGCATGTATGTATGGTGTTCGAGGTGCTGGGTGAGAACCTCTTGGGATTAATCAAGCGCTACGAGTATCGAGGGATCCCCGAGCCGATCGTCCGGGAGGTTGGCCGTCAGATTTTACTCGGCCTGGACTATCTCCACCGCGAATGCGGCATCATCCACACTGACCTCAAGCCTGAGAACGTGTTGATCTGCATCGAGGACGTGGAACGAGTGATTCGCAGCGAGCTGGAGAACCACCATCTGGTCGGACATGAGGACTCGCTGATCGGCGTGCCATCCTGTCAAGGTCGCGTCGGTAATCAGACTCCGCGTCAAGTGCCGACCAGTCCCACCAGCTTGATCACCGGATCACAGCCCCTTCCCAGCCCACGTGGCTCGAGCACCGCACTTGATAAGCTGGCTCTCCAAATCAGCAAGATTTCCTCCTCCCAGTCCTCGTCTCCCTCTCGTTCTTCCCGGATTGACTCTTCCCTCTCGCCCGGTCGTCATCAGCCTGAGTATGGCACCATCACCGTCAAGATTGCCGATCTGGGGAACGCCAGTTGGGTCACCAATCATTTTACCGACGATATCCAAACCCGTCAGTATCGCAGTCCTGAGGCCATCATCGGTGCCCCTTGGGGTCGGCGAGTTGACATTTGGAGCGCAGGTTGCATGGTCAGTACATAATACTCAGCTAGTATGTCGCCCAATTACCGAGCTGAACCCGGACTCGAAATGCTGTCTAGTTGTTTGAGCTCTTGACAGGGGATTACTTGTTCAACCCTGACGCTGTGGCCAAGCGTTACTCCAAAGATGATGATCACATTGCCCAAATCATTGAATTGTTAGGCCCGTTTCCAATCGATTTCGCCCTCTCGGGCAAGTTCAGCCACGACATCTTCAATCGAAGAGGTGCGCTATTTCGTTCTTCGTGATTATCAAATGCCCCCATTTGACTTGCACAGCCCTAGCGCGAGATCAAGAATATTCTATCAATGTGAGATGTCAAAAAGCTGACTGTTTTATGCCACATCCTTCCAACTCTGGCGATTCCCCAGGGGAACTGAAGAAGATTCCTAAACTGAAATATTGGAACCTAGAATCCGTGCTGACTAACAAGTATGGGGTCGAGAAAGAATTGGTCTCAAAACTCTCGGAATGTTTAACGAAGATGTTGCAAATCGATCCTGCCAAACGATGGAAGGCATGGGAGATCCTCAATGATGATGGAAGCTGGTTGGGAACCGATGAATAGTCAAGCCAAGTTCCCTCAAATTAGTATTGCTACGGTTTAGTACACGGGTTTCGGATCTACAACAGAAACAAAAAAAAGTCATCTATAATCCCTCATATAAATACGATCTAGTTCCCACAATTCACGCAGTGGCCGATGTTTGGTCAACGTCCTGGCTCGATCAGTTGTCTGCTTCTTTTTCTCTTGGTGGTTGTCCCACATACAAATGTAAACCCTCGATCCGGATTGGCATGGAATGAACAGCAGTCGTCAATTGTAATATTATTCTCTCCACCTCTTTACGATTATTCAGGTCTTATTATCAGTCTCTTGCTTCCTTCCACCTCAGCTGAAGAACTACACAACTTCTCGTCTTGTCATCATCACTTTCCTCGTCTGGTCTCGCTTCCCTCTCGCTCGTGATCTCTCTTCCTTCCTTCTTGTCCTCTTTCTTTTCCTCTCTGCTTATCTTATCTTGTTTGTTTTTTTGTTCTTGTTCTTGTAAAAACAACGCGCAGTTCATGCTTGTTTGAAACCTGGTCGCCCGATCTCTTGTCTTCTTGATCCTTCTGTAATCCTTTCGTCGGGCCTCATACCGATCCTTTTTTCATTCCCGCTTCCCTGTCTTTCTCCCTTGTTACTATTAACTTGCACTGCTGCTTGTCGCCATACTCCTCTTTCACGTCTTCCGGTTTTTGATGATCAGTGCCCTCATGACTCATGAAATGAACAAATCATTCTTTCTCAGGTCTACTCATATTCATGTCCCTGAATGAGCCCCATAAATCTATTGTGCATAGTTTTTTTTTTGACCTCCAGGACAGACAGCGTTCATGCTGCTTCCTTGCCCATACTCAAATGTGTTGATGACTCTTCTTGGAGCTACATAGTTTCAGTAACTGCTGATAAGTCCTCCAAAAAGGCCCCACGTCCTGCGCCTTGTCTTGACATGAACTAGCGCATTGATCGACCCCAGCTTTGGGTCATAGCTTTGAACACATCCCTTCACAGACGCCCTTCCAAGCCGACTGCACAAAATGGGCGGCAATGTAAGCCCAATGGTGATCACAGCAGCTGTTGATATCATTCGCAATGCTTTGAAAACTAGGCAACATCTTATTAGCTCCTGGATCCTCACACCTTAATCCCAAAGTGCAATCTGAATATTTCTCCAACTTGTCAGGAAGTCAACCAGCAAGCATTCCTCTTCAGATATCTATCCTAGTGTATGTGCCCTCCACGCAACTGCCTGAGAGATAGTAGTGAACTTGAGATCGCGAATCTCGACGGACATAAAAGGATGGGCTGGCACACGCCATTTCGAAGTGTATCGAGGCGACAATGGATTCACAGACGAGCGTTTCCCATCATGGCTGTGTACTCTCAGGACACAATCCGGAACCTGAGCAGCCAAGAACTCTCATGTAGCCCAGAGTAAAATCAAATAAACAATTGGGGTGTTTTTTTCCAAAGATGACGAAAGGATAAATACAGACAAGAGATGAGGAGTACAAATCAAAAGGTCAACTTATTACCGAGCCGATGTTCCTTGAGATATTCGTTGCCGCATTCGAGATAGTCCTGTTTGGAGATCGAAGCCTGGCGGAACTCGGGGCTAGCCGAAAACCGTGCCATCCCCTTCCAGGGCAAGAGTCTGATCTCTTGGCTCGGTAGGCTTGGCCGGAAGATGTTGCAGGGCGAGTCCATCGGGAGGATCGGCCGTAATGAGTTCCAGAGGCGGACATCGAAATTGGGCAGGGTGATATGTCCCCCTGTTAGATAGATATGCTGGAAATTCATCGAGTCCGGCCACACCAAAATCAATCGTCAACCTTTCGATCACGATGGAAATTAGCGGACCGAGAGGTAACTTACTCGTGTCAATTGGTCCTGAACGTCTTGACTAAACTCTTTCAGCACGTACTGGACCACCTCGACCAAGCCAGCCTGGTCGACCCCGGCAAGCAATGGTTGATAGAGAGGCTCAGGCACACGGATCCGCTCGATATTGATGTGCAACCGGGCGCTCTGTTCGGCGTTCCCTTCGGTGTCCAAGGCTGCCATGATTGTGCTGGAATCATCCTTGCTGGGAGAAATCCCCTTGTAAAATGCATTCATCAGACAGTGCCGCTTGAGTTTTTGTCGCTCGCGTGTATGCTCAATCGTAAACGAATCATCATGCTCTAGTAGTTGCTTCTCGACGGTGATCAACTCCAACAAATCATCCTCTTCATCGGCCGATTCATCTGCTCCGACCTAGAAAGATGAGAATTACTCATAAGCTATTCATTGTCCATCAATCATCAGACGCCCTTCAGAAATTAAACAGCTAGAATTCTCAAACCAACCACGTCTCGATAAACAGCCCAATCCGCATCATCTGCGCCGAAGTTATCGTCTAAAAAAATTTCGATCCAACAGGTCAGATGGATCCAGAGATTGCGAAAATGATCAAAGCAGAGAGAAGAGGAAATGGGGATGAGAATGAGAATGAGACGGACCATTGGTCTTCTTCCTCTTTTTGTTTCCGTTGACGGTCTTTCCGGGGACTTGATCGCTGGCCAAATTGGCAATCGTTTTCATTCGCTGTTGAGCAGCCAGCGACTTCCGATCCGAAAGTTGAGTCCTTCGTTTCTTCCTTTCTTTGATCTTCACCAACAGAGTCTATGGTTTTTGGATCCTTTCGGATTAGCAACAGCAATTCGCCAACCAGTCAGGGGGAAAAGCGAGAAAAGTTGCAAATACCTCATATTGTGCTCGAACTTTTGCCAACCACGCTTCAGGGTTAGACAGTCTATCTTCTTTATCTCTCCGTTCTATCTCCGCCTGTTCATAAATTCAACTAAGCTGGTGTGCTTTGATGAGTCTCCGTGGTAACAGGTTCGAGGGACTTACTTGTCGAGACTTTTCGGCTTCACGCTCGGCTTTTGCTCGCTCACGGGCATCATGTCCAGCTTTCATGAGCTTCTGCCTCCGCTTTTCTTTGAGGCCTTCTTCGTCTAATTGATGATCAGGCACATCTACTAAGGGGAAGCTTGGTTCACCCTGGACCAACCACACCAATCAATAAATTGTATGATCATTAGAAGATTGACCAAAAACCGAATATGATCTAATCTACCTTCTCGGCTTCTTCATCGATTCCCAAATCTTTATTTCTCGCTTTCTTCAATTGAAGTTGTGTTTTTTTGATCAGGGCTTCCAATTCTTCCTCGTTATCGAATCCTTCTAGAGAAAGTCGTTCCGAATATTTCGTTTTACTTTCCTTTGCCTTCCAGGATTGAATTAGTTGAAAAGCTTCCAGATCAGCTTCTTTTTGTAAGAGCTGTAAAATGGGAAAATGCCAAGCAAAAAAAGATCGGTTAGAGTCAAGACAGTTTTGGCGTCAATTGCTGCAGATTTGAGATTGAGATCACGAGCCTTCTCCATTCTGATTCGAGCTGTTTGTTCCTGAAGCCTCAAGCCAGATTGTCGTTTTTTTTCTGCTTGAAGAGTCAATTCTGCTTCGGTTTTTTCATTAACTTCCTATAAAAACACATCCATAATTTCATTTGGAAGTTATTACGCGCCATGGAATATGTGGAAGAGGTGAAGAAAATCCTGAATTTAAGACTGACAACAGTACTGAATGGAAATTGGATGACTCGATTCGCTTCTGCCATGAAATCAGGATCGTTGAACTTTCGAATGTCATCTTGAAAGGCTTCGGCAGAAAACAGACAATGATCTTGAACCAAATCGAATGCTTGGAACGGGGTCATCCGACTCGGGAAGGTTGAATATTTGACTTGCATGAGCCGGAGTAAGAATTCTGATTCTTGAAGACCGCCCCAATTCAATCGGCGAGATTGGGCAATGTGAGGGACGCCAGAGACGATGGGTATGATGGTTGTGCTGGAGTGTGACGACGAGATGACCAGAGATGTTTGCTGGTCTTGTGGGATGTCATGGTGGGTCTCATGATAAGAAAACAGGGAATCAATCCCGTAACAAACCGAGGGAGTTTGATACGTTTCAAAAAGCAGCTCAGACATCACTACATACAAAAAAGAAAGAAGAAGAATCAATGAGTGATCGCCAAGGACTTTTAGAATTTAACATCGATACTGACGTCCCCGAGTATAAACTGGATTGCATAAGGCTTCGGTCATGAGGATCGGATGCCGTACTACATCGTCATTGACGCCTAATTTCAAGAAAATATAGTCCAACATCATTTCCTGTAAGATACGGAAAGAGGAGGTGATGCTCATTAGTGCGATTTTTTGCATGTTTTCGCATGGTAGTGGATCATATCTAAAAAGTTCTTTTTTTTTTCTCGTTCCGATGGCTTCTAACCTCTTGCTTTGACCGGATCTGGAGGATTCACAAGTAAAAAAAAGGAGACCATTGCGCACCATACTATCGTAATTACAGACCACGCCTTCTTCATGCAAAGGCCTGGCGTTCGAGCGAGAGTTGGCATCGACGTAAGAGCAGGTCCCAGCCAGCATGATTGTTCGGTTGGTTTTCCGATCTCGATAACGCGAGACGACGCTGTCGGTATCGATATAGGGGGTCGACATGGTTCCATACCCGGCGCGAATGGAACAGGATCCTGAGACCACCCACAGCAACCATCAGTCTCGAAGGATCAGACAGAGAGGATAGAGATAGTATCGAAGGGGTCAGAAACCTACTCACCGTTGTCGATCACGATCGGAACAGATCCTGGACAATATTGACTTTCGTATTCATCGCAACTCAAGTAAGGCGGAGCTGGTATTGCTGGACGATCGGGCACCTTGTAGACTTGCGTTCTGGGGCGCGACGGGTCGATGATCGGTACGATGGGTGTGTTGGGGTCCACCCGGGTCAATGACTTGGAGTTGATCGAGCCCAGCATGTTGAGAATCGAAAGCGTTCGGCTCGACGATTGCAATCACACCAATGGTACCACAAGCGAGGCTCTTGACGGACTCGTTGGGTGGATATCGAGATCGAGAATCTATGAACAGGAACCAGAAAATCGACTGCGCTAAGCTGACCAGCGTATGTATGTAGTCTGAACGTCAAGGAAAAGGAAAAGCAGTCAGCGTCGACCAGCCAAGACAGAGAAACATGAAGAGGCTCGCCAAAATAAAAATATGTGCTTACCTGTGATGCTTCCACTGAGTGGTTGTCTGTCGAATGCGCTAGTATGTTGTTGTGTAGATGTTCCTTCTTTCTCCCCTCAGACGCTCAGTCTACATAAAAATAAATAGATAGAATTATTGGTTCATCACATCAGATGATTCAACCTCATCAGCTGAAAGCCCGAAGTTGAACGTCCCCACATCCAGCCACTTTTCCCACCTTCATATGCACACCTCGCCAAACGTCGCTGACACACCAATGACAAAACCCCACCCCACCGGTGCCAAAGTAGAATAATCCACAGTGTAAAATTATACTTTAACTTGACGCGCTACCTACCCATCCACGACTTTATAACTCGGATCTGTAGCAAAACAAAACCGAGAACACAAAATAAAACTTTTGCAAGGAAATCTTGATGGTTTGCAGATGTTTTCACAATCTTATTTCCAGAAACAAAGAGATATTCGGGATGGAAAGGTGGATTTGGACAGATGGCTTCAATTTAAGCTGCCAAAAAATGTTGGACAGCACATACCAAAAATACTCTGATAACTGTTGAAATTCTGTCTCTTCCTTCTCATTCCTAAAAAACCATTCCTCAATTGTCAATGTTTATACAAAATAATATACATGTTTTGACTATGTCTTGTCCTTGTCTGAGTGGCATCTTTTCTTTTGTCTAGTGCTGAAATCCCCGTAGTCTTCGAACCTGGGTCTAGTCTTTATCAATAAGAATTTGCTCCTGTCAATGTTTCTTACATGTTTCAAACTGTTATTCATTTTTATATTCAATTTCTTCTCAAACCACATGTTGAACAACTTGTATGTAGACTACTTAACGACTAGTCTCTGCTAAGGAAAAATATCATCGGTTCTCTCCTTCATTTTGCGACCCTTTGAGCCGTTCCAACAAAAATCAATTTTGTTGCCCAAGATTTTTTCTCCTCAAAAATTTTCCTTTCTCCGGTCGTAATTTCATCACGATTAACAGTCGAAAGACCTGTTAAAAGGAAATCTTCTTCAGCTCAGATCCCATCTCTAGTCTCACCATGTCCACAGAAGTTGTTCGCGAAACCAAAGTCCTCTTGACTCCGCATAACTACGCTCTCTGGTTATTACCGATGGAAGCAAGGCTCTTCAAATTGAAACTCCTTGATATCGTTGAAATTCAAGCTGAAGTTACTGAAAAAGAAGAAGCGGCATCGATTAAATCTAACAATGATGCATACGCCGAAATCATATCGTACGTTGGTCAGGAAGTGCTCGGTTTTGTCAGTTCTGCTCTCCCTGCATCCCCTCGCTTCAACGGCTGTGGACTTTGGAAACTGTTGAAATCTCAATATGCCGGCGACGACCTCACATCTCAAACGACAGCACTTGATCAGTTCCTTCATCTTGATTTCTCATCAATCGCGAAGTTCATTCCATCTGTTCGATCGGCCAATCAAAAAATAACGATGTCTGGTCTCATCTTGGACGATCGCGTCCGAACAATTTTGATGTTGAAAAAGTTACCATCGGACTATCGCTCGTTTCGCGATATTGTCTCGATGAATTACGGTTCCGAGACGTTTGAATCGGTCATTAAGAAGCTTGAGAGCTATGTAGCTCAAAATGACCTTGATAAGAAAACATCAGCAACATCTTCAACTCCGCTACAGTCTCTGCTCACTCGATCAAACGATCAATCCCCTGTGAATTCAACGCTCTGCGACCATTGCAAGAAACCTGGTCATCGCATCAACAACTGCTGGGCTAAGTATCCAGAGAAAGCCCCCAAATCACACTCAGCACACTTAACCGTTCAAGACAACTATAATCAACTAAGCGATCCGACTGATTTCTCTCTTTTCAGAACAGCTGACGGCGTCCTTCATCACATTGACGAAGTGAAGTATGAAGGTGTCCGATATTTCTAATCAAAAATCAATCTCACCCTACCAATCATTCCCTTCTCTTGCTTTCTATCCTCACCATCACTACACATTGTTTTTTAAGGTTTTTTAGTCCTGAGTAGCGGGGGGTGTTGAAATTCTGTCTCTTCCTTCTCATTCCTAAAAAACCATTCCTCAATTGTCAATGTTTATACAAAATAATATACATGTTTTGACTATGTCTTGTCCTTGTCTGAGTGGCATCTTTTCTTTTGTCTAGTGCTGAAATCCCCGTAGTCTTCGAACCTGGGTCTAGTCTTTATCAATAAGAATTTGCTCCTGTCAATGTTTCTTACATGTTTCAAACTGTTATTCATTTTTATATTCAATTTCTTCTCAAACCACATGTTGAACAACTTGTATGTAGACTACTTAACGACTAGTCTCTGCTAAGGAAAAATATCATCGGTTCTCTCCTTCATTTTGCGACCCTTTGAGCCGTTCCAACAAAAATCAATTTTGTTGCCCAAGATTTTTTCTCCTCAAAAATTTTCCTTTCTCCGGTCGTAATTTCATCAATAACAGAATTAGCCAAACATGGCACGTCCTGTGATCCTTGCCTAAACCCATTTGCCTCAAATATTGTACATATATCAGAAAACTCCTATTCTGAAAAGCTCTTTCCAAGAAATTTCAATTCTTTTCAAGAAATTGTGTTTTCTGTTGTTTTGGCTGTTTCTGATCAACCACTTTCTAGATCTTTGCCACATACATAAGGTTGAGAATGAAAACATACTTCTGTTCCAAAATCAAACCGGTTGCACCAACTCTTAACTTACTTGGGGGGGGGGGCTGCCCAAAAACTATGACCTTCTACTTCTACTTATTTCATGGACAACTCGGTTGATATGGGTAGACTTGTCACCTGTAAGACTTTCAAAAATCAACTTCAGGGCAAATTTTTACCATTTTTCTCCTCCTTAAAAAATCACCCGGAAGGTTTTTGGGGATAGTTTGTACAGAGATTGATGGTACTCATCATCAATTTCATCCAATCCCAAGGGAAAATCTCCTTCACAATAGAAACAAAACTACATTTTTCTGTGGTCTCACCTTCTAACCAAGCAGCTAAAATAAAATTCAACTAACAACGTGGATCTTGGAAAGCTCGAGGGGGGAAGCCAAAGTAGGTTACAGTAAATTTACAAGATAAAAGGGGCCGAAGAGCTCACAAGTGGCTCAAAGTTGAAGGATTTAAAAGAACAAGAAATTAGGGATATCGAGGGTGATTCCTTTTGGACTATCCGCATGAGAGTTCTTGGGTTCACTTCCCATTGCACTTGGCAATGTGAGCATGAAGTGTTTCGGAAGACCTGCATGATTTTCTCACTCAGCTCATCTGGTTCTTTTCTTTGCTTTGAAACACCGACCCATGAAAATTAGCTCACCAATAGTACCTCCATTGACTTTGTTTGTAATTTGTTTGAGGGAAAATATGGTGGAAATAGCGTGGTCAATATATTAACATTTATTCAAGCAACATTGCAAAACGAAGAAAAGGCATACCAGAAGGGACAATACTACATGGATGATTTCAATCAAGTTAAATTTTACAAACCAAAAACGATGACAAAGAGCGGAAATTTGCTTGTTAGTCTGACCCTGGACTGCTTGTGCTCTGGAAAGACACAGAAGTAGAATAAAAACCTAACTCACCCATCTGGGTTGACCTGGCTTGGCCGGGCTTGACCAATTGACCAGCTTGGGAGGTTGAGTTTGCGATTGATTCACGGATGGCTGCATTGTCGGTACAGACTTGATCTGAGGGCGTCGATGAATTGAGATTAACACGGGGTCTAAAGCAGAGTCCTAGTGCCTAGCAAATCAGGAATATGTCACCAAGAGAGAGAGAGATAGATTGCGTAAGTCTATCTGAGCACAACTAGTTCAGGATTGGAGGGTAAGACACTCTTAGCAGAAAATCAGATGCGACAATCTCACAAAAAGGTGCTCAGTAAGGTAGGCTCAAAGATCCGGTAATTTCTGGGAGGCGGCTTGACTGTGGGGGTCCTGAAGCCAGAAAGAACTCTTCAAGCAGCCTACCTTTATAGGCAAGCAGCCTCTGGAGGGTCACTTGAGATTTTGGCACGGTCGTTTGGGGCGATTCCATGATCCCATGATTTCTTCGAAGTTCTTAGAGATAATAGGGCCCCGCTCAGGACTCCCCCAGTTTCTAATTTGCCCCATGTCGCACGGCAGAAGCAAGGTTTTTGGAATACATTTGGCATTGAATGACGCAATACTATAGGCTACTTGACCCCTTGCACATTGCTCCCGATCAACTTATCGCCAGAGCGTTGGCCTACCCACCGCTCCAGCTTCTCGATTGCGGAGAAGATCTCGCTGATGACCCGGGTATGGGGTTGGTGTGGATCCCTCTGTCTGATAAGATATGCATGAAGGCCGATGAACTTCTTCTGCTGTAAACAACCGTCCGGTTTGATTATCTTGGCTTTGTCTATTTGTGTTGTACACTCACCCTATCATCAAGTTGACAGCGCGAGGAGTCAGGTTGCAGAACATTTCCGGGTGCCTACGGCCGTATCTTAACCCACGTGATGGAATCTGGGGTCATACCCGGTTCCGTCCCCAATCGGTATATGGAAGCAAAATGCAAACGTTCTTAACGTCAACTAAACATCTGCTTGGAACAAGACACATGATAGAATAAATATATAAGGATCAATGGTTTGTCCCGAAATTCCAATTGCAAGAATATATTTGAGGATCATTTTAACTTTCTACAAGCAACCGAACCTCAAGCCAAAGGAGTACCCTCGAAGGTTTTTTGAAGCACATGAATCGACTAAATCACTCACAGGGCAAAGCAAAGCCGTCCCATGATGTGGCGCCGGACTGGAAAAAAAATTCGAGCAGATGCTTGTGACCAGATCCTGCACCCTGTGATGAGCGGATTAAAATTATAATCCATGGCTTCCTGTGTAGTGTGCACAACACATTGACGGGGCAAACATGTTTGTGTTAGAGATCATTTGCTGTAGCGTGTGTTTTGCCTTCCGCGACATGATTGGCTGTGGCCAAGCTGAAACGGCCCTGATCCATAGCCGACAGTCGTGACAATATTCTTACCCTTCAAAGTTTGGAAGGAGAAAGAAATTCACTGAAGGCTCCTGAGATAAGCTTTGATAGGCAGAAAAAGGGGGATAAAATCTGAGCCGAAGGGCTAGGGAGACTAGCTGGGCAAGACAATTTGCCTCCAAGATAAACTCATAGAACTTAGGCGGAGCTCAATCGAAATTTGATGCGATGCTGCATGCAGTCAAACAAAACATGGCTAAACTAAACCATACACCGATAATTTTTCTAGGAAGTGCTTTGTAGGCCAAGATCAATAGGATTGAGATGGTAAAAACAATGGGTTTTAATTCAGAGATGGCTAGTATGAATTATCTAGTATAGAAAAAGAGACAAGACCGATGGTCAAAACTGCAACATGATTGGAATGATTTTTGAGAGGAAATATTGTTGAGTTCAGACTACATTATTATTCTCCCATGAGGATGGAACTCCCAACCAAGTCCCTCTAGCTGGGGGGGGGGGGGGGGGGGGAGAGACAAAATGGTACTCCATGACCCTCCAAGGAGGGATTTATGCCCGAGAGACAACCTTGTGGCCTGAGAAAATTAGGAAATCCATCCTTTTGAATCCTTTATAGAAGCACAATTGTTCAGCTGATCATTATGTTTTGGGGAAGCAAAAGATGCACAAGATGATGGTGAATCATTCTGTTGTTTTCTCAATTCTTAGGCCCTTGGATGGCACTCAACTTGCCTTTTTTGTGACTTCCATTCTAGTTCTGCTCCATGTCACATTGCACCTTTTGTACTGTACAGTATCAAAAATTGAAAATTTACAATCATTATTATTAATCCAGAAAATGTTTTTACAATCAGCAAAATTATTAAATAGATGGGGACAGCTTGAAAGATTACAAAAGTGAAAACTAGAGGAAAAAATGATCAGCCAAGTTTGTGTGAGATGAATCATGAAATGTTGGAATTCTGAAGTTGTCGTGCTCTGCTCTTCTCTCCCTGTCACATCTCTGTCACTCTCTTCTCATCTGTCACTCCCTTTTCTCCTCATTTCCAGATGAATATGCATCTTCCTCTTCTGTCCCACAACTCAGCCATAACTTGTATGTAGATAAAGATCCATGCTTCCTGAGTTAGAAAATGAAATCATCTGTTCTTCTGCGCCTGATCCCTGGAGTCACTACCGGATACAACTCCTTGTAGCGTGTGTGCTTTTCCACCACACAAGCTAGCAGCCTTAGCCCTCTTTGAGGGCCCTACATAAGACCATTGTTTTCTGAGAAAACTGTATGACTTTTATTTCATAAAACCAGAACCAGACTGAGAGAAAACAATATTAATGACAAGGTAATGAGAATGTTGACAAGAAGAAGGAAAGAGAAGATTTACCACCACAGTTATTTAACAATGTAAAGAACAACTTAAAGAATTTTAAAGTGGAGATGTTGAGATTGAGAGGACTGAATTTAAAGGTCAAGAATGATTAGTTTGATGTCGATGAAAGAGGAGGTGTCTTCTTTTCTCACCAAATGGAATCAGACGACGTGATCCGTTTAGATGAGAGTTCTTTGACAAGGTCAAAGAAGGATGAATTTGGTGTTATTGACTGAGGTCGATATCGGAGAGAGGATGAGTTGGTTGAGATCTTGAATATGAGTCGCTGGTGAGTTGGTGGATGAGAAGAGTCGCTGGCAAGTTGGTGGATGAGAAGCTGGCGATGAGTCGGAAGAAGTGAGAAGATGGAGGCCTTTTTATACCTGAGAGAGTGAGGATTATCTAGGTTTGCACTTGTGGTTGAGATATGATTAGGTTTGACATATGAATACGTGCTGCGGTGGTTCAGCGATGCGGATTCAGAGTTGATGTTCACAGACAGATCACAGGGAGTTTCAACATTTTCCCTCTGAGCTTTTCCTTGAGGTTTTTTCATCACCCGGTCTCTTCACTCCCAGCCAAAGATCCAAATGCTCTCAGGCTGTGGGGTTGACTTTAGAAAGTCCCTCCCTCCGGTTGGTGCAATGCAACAAGTGATTTACCATTCCAACAAATGGGGGCAGGGACTTAGTCAAGTTGGATATAATAACTCCTTGCCACAGAAAACAAGGTTTTCATGAATAACTGGTATTTGAAACTAGAGCAGAGGAAATATTCAGGGCCCGTACCACAGCCCCAATCTTGAGGTTAATTTGCAATTTTCAAGTTGGAGATTGGCCCACCTGAAATGGTGTGCCATGCACACCAAAATTCCCAATTTCCCACATTACAGAAGCCAGATTTCCAGCAAACTTAACACAAAGTCCCTCCAAAGGAGGGACTTGCATCCAAAGTGGCAAGTCTTTCCCTACAGAGTCTGTCCAATTGGCTGTGAATAACTCCCCCTCCCCCATAGTACCCACTAGCACTCATTGACACAACTCACCTCTGGTACTATTGAAATCACAAGGATCATAGGATAATTATTGTATGTTCCAAATCTTTGATATCTGCTCCTGCTCCTGAATAAAATCGGGCTGTGGAAACTATCTGTAAACAATCAAGCTCTCTCAAGGCCACATTTTCCGCCAAAAAATCTGGTGGTAAATGCATCATCACCCTTATACATAGTTCAGGGCAAGACTGTCAAACACTGTGAGATCTTATGTCAGTCAACACAAACAGGTTTCTATTCAAAGACCAGATACTATGAATCTGTGTAGAATCCAACAGAGCCCCATTTTTACATTCCAAATGGAGGATGTGGACATTTATTCCTCCATTTTGAATGGACAAAACGAAGTGACAAACCTAATAAATACCCCTCTTGAAGCTCAAGAATATCAGTGTGATAGTTCTCTTCTATAAATTCAACAAAATGATAATCAGCCCTTCTTCTCTGTGAATCACAATTTGAATTTGAATTGTTTTGAACTGAATTTACTGGATTTTGAATGTTTGTATTTGATGTAATGAAGTGTGTGTCTTCATGTATGTAGGATGGTTCTGATTTGTCTCTTGATTTCAATTTTTCCATCTGTGAAAATGGGGCATCACTCTTCACTAATTCACTCCAAATTGTGTGTTTCTAATCATGACTGCAAAAATGATACTATACAAGCATCTTGGCATATATAAATTTCAAGTATCTTAGTTGCCTGCCCTAAAGAAAATAGAAAAAAATCTATTAGCTGCATACTGAATCCAACATTTAATCCAAGATCTTGATTTTCTGATAAATTGTAGACTCTTGATGATTCTTTATGATCTGTTGGATATCCTGGGAACTTGTGGATATTATCATTTTTGAATTTATACTTTGAAAACATGAAGGTCACATCAACTTTCATTGCATCTTCTTCTCATAAAACTCCTTTAAACTGTTCTTAGATATCATGTCTTGCCTGTACATATAGTTGAGAAAGAATGAATAAAACTTTTCAATACTTTCCAATAATCCTCTTTTACCTTTAAAATTTGTGTTATTTGCTGGTAAAATATTTGAATAGAAGAATTCCTTGTCTTAGCCAAGAAAAAAATCATGGAAATGAAATCATGTCCAATCACATATTCTTTTCCCATGGAATTTAGTCCAAGTTAAAATTTCAAATTGAAGAATGAAAGAAAAAGGAAAGCAAGAAAGTTGATTGACTGAGTAAGATTGTGATTAAAATCAGAGTATAACCTTTACACTTACCAATTTCTGGGAAAATGCTGTCTCTTTTACAAAACCAATTTACAGATTTGGTAGATTCCCTTGGTCCTTCTTCTGCTTTCTTCAGAAACAAGAAGTCTTGATCAATGGCTGTCTCTGTATTAAATTTCAAAGCTGAATTTTCAATGTCCCTTCTTGGTTCTGTACTATGTGCTGTTGATTTTTTACATTCAAAATCAGTGATGAAAAGAAGGATGAGAGGTCATCTTTAGTGATGGAAAGACAAGAAGGATCAAAGTGAAATCACCAATTAGATTTTCCATGGATTGACATCCTTGCAAGCAGCAGCAAATTAAAATCTATGGCATGTGTTAGTACCCAATGGGGAGTTTCATGATAGGGTCTTACAAGACGGGTTTGGGTAGGTAGAAGCAAAAGAAATGTTTGATGAATATTGAGTAGATCTTGACTCTTATGGCAGGGCAAATTTGTTTCACAAACCATGATCACTCTTTATTGGCCAAAACTTTGACAATTCCAGGGGGTTTGGCAAGATGTTCAAGTCTGTGAGAAATGTTACTTATAACAAGCCTAAGTGAGTTTAACCCAAGCACCCCAGGGTATAATTGGTGACTCCCTCTAGCTTGTGTTGGTGATGCCTCTAACAGCACAAATCCTGATGCTTGGAAGTGAGTATCAACCAATGATTGCAGGACTAACTTGGGGTGTGCACAACTTTTGTTAGTCACCCCTCCAGGTTTGAGGGCACAATTTGAGGTTCTTTTCTGGTCTTGACTTGGATTTTGATGAACTCCTTTATAGTGAGCTGGTGGGGAATTTACAACCAGCTCAACAAGGATCAAGCAAATTACTACTACATATCTCTCCAACCTTTGCATTATGATTTGGATGATTCAAGAGTTTCTTGGACCAGTAATCACTTAGGATAGGGGAGAAGGGGGTGCCATGGTCCAATCAATGCGAAACTCATGTGTGCTTTCTGGGACTGAACCAATGCTGAAGGGGCTCCAGGTTGGACAGGAAGTTGTCCAGTTCTACTGCACCTGTAGGCTGTGTTTGAATTTGCTTGTGAGTACATAGATCCACAAAGATGAAATGATTGATGATAATTCAAACCGGCTCCTTGTGTGATTTAAAACAGAAAAGTTGAGCTAGTACAGTGGGATGGTTGGCTGCACAGGTTGATTGGTGTGACTTGAATGCAGATGGTTTTTGGTCTGCAAGGAGGGGCTTGTGTGGTTAAGGGTTATGCATCTTGTGGTTGAGGGGCTCCACAAATTCCCACTTCAAGCCAACACTTTCCCACTTTTTTTTTGTTTCTACTAAGGAACACTCAGCTTGCAACCAACCAACCCAGATGAACTCCACTCCGATCTCAACTGGCAACTTACTCAACAGACAGATCATGGGAGCATACCGAAAACACCATATCTCACTCAACAGCACCCCACTACCAACAAACACCACCACAACCACCGAAGCAGCAACAGCAACAACTAGTACTACCACACCAACAACTATCAACTTAACCGACGAACTAACTACCAACCAGGAGAAACTCACAATCGATCACTCCCATTCAGAACATCCTACTACATCCTCAACCTCAAAGAGGAAACTCAACTCAACCCATGAAAACCTCAATCGAATCACCAATCAATCAACTCATTCACCAACTACCATCAAGCGAACCAAATCTGCATTCAGCAACTCAAAGCAAAGCGGAAACCCTTCCTCATCATCACTCATCAAGGATACAACCCCTTCAGTGACCCTCTCAGATCTCGGTGGGATCGATGGAACGGTAGAAAGACTATTAGAATTGATCGGACTGCCAATCCTTCATCCAGAGATATTCGAATTTACCGGTCTCAAACCAATCAGAGGACTCCTACTATGCGGCCCTCCAGGTTGCGGAAAGACGATGTTGGCGAATGCGATCGCAAATCAGTTGGGCGTCCGACTGATCAACGTCTCCAGTACTAGCATCGTCAGTGGAATGAGTGGCGAAAGTGAGAAGGCGATCAGGGACATCTTCGAACAAGCTACTGTCAGTCTTCGAATCTAATCAAAGCTCTGTACTGTGAGCTCAACAATCCACCCATCAAAAAAAAAAAAATCATGGCAAAACATCACCTCTCTCAAAATTAATACCCTGGAAATTTTTGCATTTTTTGACATTAGAAACAAGCACCATGTCTGTTGTTCATCGATGAAATCGATGCTATTACTCCTAAGCGTGAAACTGCTCAACGAGAAATGGAACGAAGAATTGTGGCACAGCTACTGACTTGCTTAGACGGTAATTCACGTTTTCTTCTCAAAAAAAAAAGTTCTTCGGTAAATTGACCTCCAAAGTCTATCTTTTTTTTGTGACATCCAGATCTCTCGCTCGAAAAGACTGATGGTAAACCGGTGATCGTGATTGGTGCAACTAATCGACCTGATAGCTTGGATCCAGCGCTGAGGAGAGGTGGAAGATTTGATCACGAGATTCTGATGGGTGTGCCCGACGAAGCAGCACGGGAACAGTAGGTTTACATTCTACATCCTCAAGTTTTGTTCTATACTGATATTTGTATGATACAATTGTTACTCCAGGATTCTGCGGGTGCTATGTTCAAAATTAAAACTGGTGGATTCCTTTGACTACAAGCAGTTGGCTCGTTCCACGCCTGGATATGTTGGTGCCGATTTAACCGCCCTGACAGCTTCTGCCGGTGTTATTGCCATCAAGCGAATTTTTGAACCCGATACCAAGCCGGACAAGTTACCTGATGACAACATGATTATCGATCTAACTGATTCCCCAGCAAAAGAAGATCTACTTGTTGTTGAAACGGATGTTCCAAACCAAGAACAAGAAGCTCCCCCAGCCGATATATTCGAAAATCTACCCAGTCATCTACTCTCTCTACCTATCATCAACTTTCTCCGCTCGAACCCCAGAAAATTAAACTCGCAGCAACTGGATCGAATCCGAATCAACCAACTTGACTTTGAACGTGCACTCAATGAGCTCCAACCCTCGTGTAAAAGGGAAGGGTTCTCGACAATTCCAGATACGACATGGTCTCAAATTGGGGCCATGCATTCGGTGAGAGATGAGCTCAATATCTCGATCATCCAACCGATCCGATATCCCGAGATGTTCGAGAAAATCGGCATCTCTTCTAGCTTTGGCGTCCTCCTTTGGGGGCCTCCTGGTTGTGGTAAAACGCTGGTCGCCAAAGCTGTTGCTAATGAAAGTCAGGCAAACTTTATCTCCGTTAAAGGCCCTGAATTACTCAATAAGGTAAACCGACATTTTTGATTCTAAACTTTCTGATTCCCTGGCCTTGATGCTCATTGAGTTGTATTCCCCATTGATCGTTTTCGTCTTTTATCAGTATGTTGGCGAGAGTGAGAAGGCAGTGCGGCAAGTGTTTATTAGAGCCAGGGCCTCTGCTCCTTGCATAATTTTTTTTGATGAACTCGATGCATTGGTTCCCCGGCGAGACGATAGTCTAGTGAGTAATTTCACACTTTGTTTTTGGATAGGGATCAAGAGACAAACTGATCGTTGAACTCCTTACAAAATGATTCACTCCCAGTCCGAAAGTTCATCCAGGGTAGTCAACACACTTCTCACCGAACTAGATGGTCTTGAGCCACGCAAGCAGATCTATGTGATTGGTGCGACGAACCGACCGGATGTAATGGACCCGGCAATGGTCAGGCCGGGCCGACTGGACAAGATGATCTTCATCGACCTGCCTGATCGACAAGACCGATGGGAGATTTTCAAGACCCTGTCGAGCAAGCTGACGTTCGACAGCCCAGCCTCCGAGGCGATCCAGAAGCTTATCCAGGACGACCCACGGTGTGCGGGCTATAGCGGGGCGGATATCGGCGGCTTGATCCGCGAAGCCGCGCTGATCCAGTTGCGCAAACAGATCCGGAACCGGACCCTTCTGGATCCGACTGGCGATCGTCCTCATCATCTTGAGACCCAGACTACTCAGGAAGAGTCTCTTGGGATCGCCGACTTCGAGGAAGCATTGGCAAAGGTCCGGCCGAGCGTCTCTTCCTCGCAACATAAACGATACCGCGCCCTTCACTCTAAGTTCAATGGGGTCTCCGCCGGTACACTTAAGGTCCAAGATCAGGACGACGATCCTTCTTGTAAACCTCGTCCTGCTCCTTGTCCTCCTCCACTCTCCTCGTAGCTCGTCTCCTCTGTCTCTCCAATTCCCTCCCTTTTTTTCGGAATTTATATTCGCACTTTGGGGTTGGTGTTTTTTTTGTTTGTTTTGGAGGCTTTCTTGTGTTTCATCTACAAATCAATAGCTATAACAGATCTTATGACTTCAACATTGTTGCACTTGGTGGCCCACTATGCTGCGCTACAGCACATTTCAAGGGTTTTTTTTGGCTGTTTTTGCGGCTAAAAGGCTAATACAGCGTAGTGGGACTAACAGCGCACTCCTTTGACGGCTGCTGTGCTAATGTTAGTGGGTTCTTTAGCCTAGTGTAGTGTAGCGGTCCATTGCTGGATCAATCCTTCTAAGGACTGAAACAGGTAGATGTAATCAGCCAGGAAATGGACAACGAAAGATTCCAATGGGCAAAAGAAGAAACTGACTGAGCTTTGAGTTTTTGTTCTCTGTGATAAATAACTCTCTTTCTGACATGGACACTGGACATAGAATGACTCAGCCCAGACTTTGTTGATGAACATCTACAGATTGTAACTCTTGAAACACGTCCAAAGACTCAATCACCTTGTAGCCAAGTTTATGTCTGCAAAAAGGAGAGCCAAGATTGCTGCAGAAAGGTTTGACCAGCAGGTCTTGCTGGCTGCTTGAGTCAAAGAATAGATAGAGGCTTAAAAATCTGGGTAACCTTTTCTTACAATTTCACTTCCACATGACGAAGATTGTTATTGAGTTACTAGCCATATGAATGCAAGTCTACTGTAAGTCCACACAATAGTTTAGTGGAATATTTGGTTTGGTGTTTGTAACTTTGTTTTATGGAGAAGGTAAGTTTGTCGGCAAGTCCTGAATGCTTCTTGTTCTAGCAAAACCATTAGAAATTTCTAAATTTGTACAATGTGAAGCAATTGTATATGGTCATGCCTACCAAAAGCCACGCCTAAACATACTTATGGGTTCCAGTGAGGATTATTCAGGGTCTGTTGACTCTTAGAAGTCCCTAACGTATCTGTAGCACCTGTTTCAAAGTGTTTATTCAATGCTCTGAGGCCACATATTATCACTCTGTGGTTTCATTAAAAGGGCTACAAACGAAAATCCAATTTTTTGGTTAAAATATTTGGACATCCTTAAAATCCAGGTTTTGCCATCCACAACTGTATTCCAAATCACCCAATTTCTTGCAAACCATTCTCTGTATGTAACATATGTTCAATTGAATCCTTGCACAGTCACATAGCTAGTTCCAGATGTTTATATCCAGTTTGTTTGGATTACACAACCTTGAAATGATGATACCTGGGAAAAGGGTGTAAATGAGGTTTCAAAAAATGAAGCAAAAATATGTGAAACTGGTTTTTTAAATTTGCAAAAAATATTACAATTATTGCATTTTTTTTTTTTTTCAGAAGTTTCAATATTGCTCCACATTTTAAAATAAAAATTGGAAAGATTAGGATGGTATGCAAGAAGAATGATAATAAATGAAAAAAAATCTACTCCTGAAATCATTTCAGAGCTGAGTATCCAGGTCAAAATGCAAGCTGAATTTGATCACCCTGCCTTTTCCACTTTATTTACGACTATGAGTCTGATGAATGCCTCACTCCACACCAGTTTGAAACCATCTGGTATTTTTTTTTTAAATATTCATTTATTATCATTCCTCCAGCATACCATAATCCAATTTGCATTTTTTTTCATTTGGAGCAATATTATGAAGGCCTCATTTGGCACCAATATAATTGAGTAATGTAATCTGAATTCTTGTGAAATATGATCAAGTGTTTGCAGACCTGATCAGATATCACACAGGATTTTGGGCAAAAATCTTCATACATTGCTGCCAAAGGAGGCCTAAAACCTTTGAAAAAAGTGCATTAACTGTATTTTTTTTGCAAATTTTTCAAATCAGTTTTTTTTTTCCTTTCATATTTTTGATTTCAGAATCATTTTTTGAAACATCTTACATGCAACTTGCCCAAGTCTCATGATTTCAAGTTGGTGGATGGGGGCTGTGTAATCCAAACAAACTGGCCATAAACATCTGGCAGGTGAGATTGCACATGTTTCAATTTGTTACATAATTGTAGGACAGTCACAGATCTATGAGAAGGATTCCTATTTTATTTGATTTCAAACTGTGAGAAAATTGATGAAGCATGAAAGTATGTATGATTGCAATGGGGACTGGGAATACATCTTCATGGTTAGTGCCTCCTGTAGTGTAAGCCGTTGGCCAAAGTCCACAAGGGACTTTGATAGATGGCAGGTGCACCCAATGTGGCTGTAGATTACACAATCCCTTCCTAGAAACTGGAAGCACATGAATTGATGTGCTATCTGGCAAAATTACTTCTCAGGGACCTGCCTATTACAATTCAGGTGGAACATGAGTTGCCAAATGGTGAAATTAATGCTGCTAGGTAAAGACTAATTGGATGCAGAAAAGATGATTTTGTTAAGAATCATGTACATTGTTTTATGTCACCTATATTCCCATTGAAGCCCAGATTGTCTTGGAAGCTTCTGTACTTATCTAGAGGCAGTCAGCCTGCTCCATGCTACCCGGAGAAGCATGTTTGAGATGGAGAGTGTGACTCGTAGATTCGCATCCGCAGTTGTTACAGCTGTCACGGGGGCTGTACCTGAGCTGTCACAGGTTCCCGCCCCCCACCAGTCCACCACCCAAAAAACCTCGCCCCGAATCTCCCACAGTTTCCCACTGCACCACCATCGCCAACAACCCAGTTCGCACCATTTCATCCTTCAGTTGGCTTGGTGAGTTTGAACGTTTTAAAAGAATACAGCAGAGTAATCATACGAGAAGCTGACCGGACTACCCCCTCCATAGATAATACATACCCACAGCATGCGTTATAGCCAACCTCGGGCGGTCACCGACGAACATTGTTTGAGCGAGCTTACATTAATTTAAGGGCGTTTGGAAAACATGAGAAAATCGTTGCTTATCCTGTATGTCATCCATAGATCACACTTTACTTCCTAAACAGCTGACGTCTTATATCCAAACAGCTAAACGCTCACTCGCCAAGTCGCCTCTGAAGATACTGTTGCCAAGCTCAAGCCCAACTAGAATCAGGATTGTTTACCCGTTTTTCAATTGTCAGATCCACAGCAATTATCCTATCAACTCAATCACAACCTCCCACTCAAAAAGGCAGTCCAGCTTTCTCCTATCAACCAAGCGTTTATCATCAACTCCCATCGTCCTCAAACCATTAATCAAAATGGTTTTCCACGCATCAACAAGCACTTCAACTGTATCATCATCATCATCTTCTTCTTCTTCACCTTCACCTTCTTCCTCAACACCAGCATCAGCATCTTCTTCTAAATCACTGAATCACCTCAAACATTCATCATCAAGTTTAGCTCCCGACTCGACGGCTAACACCCCAACTTTTCAACTCTCCCCGATCCTGTTGGTTTCTACTCTTGATGGTCAACTGCATGCACTCGATCGCCAAACTGGAATTTGGAACTGGACTCTCAACGATCCAAATCATACCTCCAACGGTTTGCTCGACCGTTGCGGTCTTGTTGATTCACCTTGTCTCTCAGCCGATCAATCTCATTCAGATCAAGATCACGAGCTCTATGCAATCGAACCTCACAACGATGGCGACCTATACGTCTTCGTCAAGTCTTCATCTCGCCCCTCTCGCCTTGAGAAACTCCCTCTCTCGGTCTCCCAACTCGTCAATCTTTCTCCCTTCACCTTTCCAGGCGATTCTTCTAAAATGTTTATCGGCAAAAAAGAGTCTCACTTGATCGCTATCGATCTCAAAACTGGTTCGGTAGTCAACTCCCTACACTCAAAACCTAAACAGGGCTCCTTGAAAGGAAAGGAGAAGTCCTCCCGGTACGATCATTGTCATCCCCGACCTTCATTTCAATCGTCAACCAGTCAAGCTGGGTTGGGTAGAGACGATACTTGTCCCGTCGAGTCGGGAACTTCGAATCCATCAATGGACCCCGAGGAGAATCATGAATCCATTGATCATCGTCCCAGTGATCTACTCTACATTGGTCGAACAGGCAGGTTATCGTCTGCGATCATTATCTGCTAACCAAGAAAAAAATTAGTCAATGGTCAATCTTAACTGATTTTTCTTGTCTCTACGCCTCAGACTACCAGGTATCAATATATTCAAAACCAAATACACTCATCCAATCATTGCGCTACTCCACCTATACCCCGTCCAACCTTCCTCACAGCTTACAAACCATGTGGACACGGACACCGGATGAGTTATATCTGGAACCCACTCACGATGGCAACCTCGTTTGTTTCCAAGCTACATCGCAAGTTACCAGTACTCCATCGAATCGCGCCGAGCATACGAAGATTAAATGGCAGAACTCGTTTGACCATCCAGTTACTAGTATTTTTGACGTCGTCTTTCCCAGTGCTCCTAACGAAACTGTATTACCTACCGATCAAACCTCTCCGGATCCCGGGCCAAGCAAAGTATTGGATGATTCTGCCGATAGCGCCTCAAAATCTACCACTCTTCAACAACCAATCATCTTCGTCCAGCCCAAATTTTTACCACACAAGGATGATCAATCTCATAGCAAATTTTCACCTGAAGAGGACCAGTTTAATCTTTTCAAGCATCTCCATTCTCAAAGTTCATTTTCTACTCCTTTTCAACCTACCCATCCAGCCGGTCAGCGGAGTGCTTTCGTTGGCAAATATCAAGAATCATTCTATGTGATGTCCCAACAAAGCTATCCGCTTGTTGTCTTCGCACCATCCGCGTACCAAACTCTTGGGCACGAACCATCGATTGGAACACATCATCTACTCAACTCTCAAGCCCTGAACGGTTTCCTTGATTTCTCATATACCAATCGTTTATTAGATCCTGCCACCGGCCAAAATCCGCATGCTTCTGGCAATTCTCCCCTAGCTCTCGACCCACCCCCAAAGCCTTTGACTCTTCCCCCATCCAAAAAAGTGGTCGATTCCAAGCTCAGACCGAATTCGGGCTTGAGTGATGTCCCCATCTCTTCAACCCATACCAACGTCGTCTCGGACTCCGAGGAGCTACCCTACGAAACACCTATGCAACTTCATCAACGTGCAGCTCAAATTTCTTCCCTGTTGGTTAGGACGTTCAAACAGCAGCTGATGCCCAGTGAGGGGAGAAGCTCGGTGTCCAACGGAAGGTCTGATGATCGATTTCCAGATTTGAACCCGCTGCTGACCATCTTCTTGGTATTGGTGATAATGAGCTGGTGGGCCTCAAGGAAAGTGGGCTCTCCGTCAACTGCTCGATGGGATCACTTACACCGATTAGTTAATCAAGCCTTAGGTAGCAATGACTCTTCTAAAGCTGAGCAAGGCCCCAACTTGAAAGCACTTGGCACGGCGGACTCCCGGGATGGAACTGCAACGACTGAGGTACCAACCACGATACCAATCAAAGAATCTGAATGTCTTACAAGTGCCGATGGCTCCTCAGACAAACCCCTACTCTCCAATGGTGATAATGATGATGAATCTCTTCCTGCTTCGAAGCAGAAACCCAAGCGTAGAAGGGGAAAGCGTCCTGGCCAGAAAGCCGCGGCTGCAGCGGCCAGGGCCGAAGCTGAGGCAGCCAAGGCTCTCCTGCCATCAGCTCCATCTGATTCTTCCCCTTCACACCTTAGCCCAACCGAAGTTCCCTCCACTGAACCAAGAACTCCAGAGCCCAGAACACCTCAAAAACCCAAACCGAACCATAAGAAGAGCAAATCAAGTTCTACCAATGGGGTTGGAGTCTCTCGCCCACTCGACCAAGTTACCCCAACAGCTGCATCCGTTAATCAGCCGACCGTGAATGACAGTACACCCAATCCTGCTACAATCTTGTTTAAAGTAAACGGTCAAGATCTGCACGACGTCCAGCCAATTAATTCGACAGCAGAATTTTCTATGAATGATTATGGTGGTTTCGACCCGCAAAGAGTCGGATCGCTGATTGTAACAAATGAAACGATAGGTTTGTTAAGCTTCAGGCCGCATTCCAATCTACCAACAACACTCTCTTTCTTGCTGATACATGTTTTTTTTTGTTGATCACATAGGGTATGGATCGCATGGTACTGTAGTTTTGAAAGGAACTTTCCAAGGTCGACAGGTTGCGGTGAAACGGCTTCTGAAAGATTTCGTTACATTAGCAAGTCATGAAGTAAGCTTATTGCAAGAATCCGACGACCATCCAAATGTGGTACGATACTTCGTCAAGGAATCTCTTGACAACTTCCTCTATATCGCATTGGAACTCTGCAACGCATCTTTGTTCGATTTGATTGAAAGGAAACAATTCAAGGAATATGAAGAGTTAGACCGAATCTTCAATGCTAAAAAAGCCTTGAAGCAGATCTCGTCGGGTTTGAGATACCTGCACAAACTCAAGATCGTCCACAGAGATATCAAACCACAGAATATTCTGATTAGCCTCACTAGGCCGTTACCTGTTAGCAGCAAGACGACGAGCAAGAAGTCGGGAGCAAGCTCGGCCGGTAAAAGCTTTAGGATGCTAATATCCGACTTTGGATTGTGCAAGAAGTTGGAGCTGGACGAAAGTAGCTTCGCACAGACTGCGAATCATGCAGCTGGTTCTTTCGGGTACCGGGCCCCAGAGATCTTGAAGGGGCAGGTAAACTTGAATGAACAGAGCAACTCGACTGCCAGTTCTAGTATGATCAATTCCACCGTCCAAAACGCGGCCGCAGGCACCAACGGAGAATCCAATGGATCCTCCTCGACATCCAATCCAGAATCATCCCACCATCGACTGACTCGATCGATCGATATCTTTTCATTAGGATGTATTTACTACTACGTTTTGACCAAAGGCGACCATCCCTTCGGCTCTCGTTATGAAAGAGAAATGAACATCTTGAAGGACGAAGTCTGCTTAGAACAATTGGATGGGCTCGATGAAGAGGCCTTCGAAGCACAACAATTGATCAGATCGATGATCAGATCGAATCCAAAAGAGCGGTAAGTTGCAAACCAACTAATTGCTGATTTTGGTTAATGGCTGACTGACAACTTCATTTTACATCAATCTCTATCTGTGCATCAAAAGACCAACGGCAGAGGAAGTATTACAAAACCCATACTTTTGGGAGCCCACGAAACGGTTGAACTTCTTGTGTGATTGTAGCGATCGGTTTGAAATCATGGAACGAGATCCGCCAGAAGAACCGCTGATCCGATTGGAAGATCAAGAACAGTTTTACAGATATGTTCATCACAAGTCTCTCCCACTCAATCCCCTGACCCCCAACAAGAACCCACACCACAAGGGTCTCGACTGGTATAAAATCATCGATAGAGGCCTCGTCGACAATTTGGGCAAGTATCGTAAATATGATGGTGGCTCGATTCGAGACTTGTTAAGGGTGATGAGGAACAAAGTCAGTGATATGTTTTTTTGTGGCGTGCCATGGTGAAACGGAGACTGACAATTCTTCTTTTTATCAAAAACCCCGCTTGGATTGATTGGATATTCGACACAAAGAAACATCATTTTCAAGATCTGCCGGACGGGATCAAGAAAGCCTTAGGAGATATACCCGAAGGGTTCTTGAACTATTTTAGCAGAAAGTTCCCGTCCCTTCTGGTCCACGTCTATTCGATCATCTTGGAAAGTAATCTGAAGACTGAAAACCTGTTTGCTACTTACTTCGATCTCGATGAAATTTGATCCCCTCTTTTTTTCATCACCACCACCACATCGACAACCACAAGATTGACAACCGCAAGATTGACAACCGCAAGATTGACAACCGCAAGATTGACAATGATAAAAAAATAGTATCAATGAATCAGTTAAAACCTCGTTGGTTATCACTTGTACTTGATTTGGGTGTCCGGGATTGAAAGAGCCGTCGGGTTGTGGGGGGAAGTAAAGCGGAAACACGCAGGGATCGAAAATTTTGACTTGCTTATTTTTTCATTTATTTTTTCATTCTTTATTATTATTTTTTTGAAAGCATATGATATCATTCTCACTCTTTCATATATACCCAAGCAACTCAATGTACATAAAAAAAAAACATCATCTCACCCATCCACCACTCCCTTTCTTTTTTTCTTCTCTTTTGCCCTTTGAACCTCACCTCCTCAGAATCCATCCTTGTGAAGATTTCCTTTTCCCTTTTTCTTTGGGGGCCTGCTTTGTATATTTGAAAAGAAAAGAAAAAGACTACAGAATGATCGTGACTGTATTCTTCCGCTTCTCTCTTTCTCGTTTTTCTAATAGTTTTTGTTTTTCTTTTTTTGGTGTTTTTTGTTATCTTCCTATTGCTTGTTAGGTCTTGAATCATAACCTTGAGTTGGACCTGCCATATCTGCCCATTTATGGCTAGTTTCCTTTTGTTGTTGACTTCGTCTGAGGGACTGCTTTGAACTCGCGTGGAGACACCAGGCACAGTCTCATATTCTCATTACTCATATCTCTGTTTTCACCCAACTTTCTTGCATCAAGCTTTGCAAATGTCGAAACCTTGTTTAATCCTTTTTTACTTGATTAATTCTTGTTAATGGGTCAAGCGTCAAATCGCGCCCCCATTGCAAATTGGCAACAATCTGTTACGCATGGTTGAGATACCATGTATAGTTTAACCTAATAGGTAATCAATTTCACCAATCATTGCTAGACGGACCCTTAAGCTCCATCTAAAGCCACTCATGGCATGCAGCTTTTCACGTCTCTAATTCACCGGGAGTCCTTTCTCGCCACCCCTATGTAAGATAACTATCATAACCTAAACTTCGTCGGTATTTCCCAATGTCTTCAATATGATGTTGAAAGTGTGGTTCATCTTTCTAAGCCAACAAGGTTTTAAGCCTTAGCATCCCCTTTAGCTTTCGAACAGGTAAGATCTCTAACTCCCAGCCGATCCACGGGAAGTTAATAAGTTAGAAGAACAATATCTCAAGAATTCATTTCAAAAGAGCGAAGTTATTTTTTGTCTAACAAAAATGATTATTCTATACGCTTCGCAGCCGATAAATCGCTCTCATGTGAAGGAAAATTTCTCCAAGAGTATCAAGAAGTCAAGAAATAAAGTATCAGCATCCGGGTAGACTGTTCTTGAGTACTTTTCTTGAGATGTTGTCGACAGTCCCGCACGCTGAAGAAATGGATGGTTCTTCGACTGATCCCTCAAGTTGAATATTGGTAAACTGCGAAAAGAAATCGAAGGATTAAATCAACCTAATGGCTCAGGAATGTGAAACTGGTGACATGCGGACTGACTTGGAAGTTTTTGCAAGGTGAGTTTGGAGGGCAATGGAGAGTGACCAAAGACCTGTACTTGTTACCAGTCCCTCGGAAGTTGATAAATTTAGCATCTGTCCATTGTTGCGAGCCTCGACCCGAACCAATGCTACGTTTCGTTCTTCGAAGCGTTTCGCCCCACGTGTAGTCAAACTGACGTGAAGGTACGATGGGTTAGGACCCGATCATCGCCAGATTCGCTGTTGAAACAACTACTGACCTTTATTGGATACGCCACGTTATCCTGCAAGTCGGGCAAAAAAACAAATTAGATTTGTTCGTTAATAAAGATGAATCAAATAAATTTCTTTGAATTTGAGAATAAGGTGAGCTCACCAAGGTAAAGTCCGTGTATGTGATGTTCCTTGTATAATCATCATGCCGTAGAAAGACGAGGTCCAACATCATAGCTCGGCTATCAGCGGCCCATTTCCACTTTGAATTTGCAAGAGGCAGCTTACCTGATGGATCCTTGGGATGTCGAGTACGTTTTAATAACCACCTGGTCCAGAAAAAAAAAGAAGTTAAGATTATGAATTTGGTTCTGACAAAGGCGTGCAACCGTCTTTTTGGACATTCATCAACTTGGGACTGACCCCATTGGAAGCATTGCTTAGAGTCACATTGCGGTATAAAACGTCTTCGACGGTGTAGGCACTTGATGATGACCCAAAGCTACCGATGGAGCAGCCTGGAATGGGCGGGGGTTCTTTTCGTTAGTTATTCTCGTACTTCGATTAACATGAAAGCTCGTCTTGAGAATGGAAAACTGACCATCGGTATTGATGCATTGGATGTTTTCAACCAACAATCCCTTCATGGGGGACTTCGCCGTCACACACCTAATTGATGGATCAATCTGTGTCAGTTTTCTTCGTGCTACGGCCACCAGTGTCTGCGCTAATCGGCTCTTACTCGTCACCGGTCTTGATCTCAACTTTGGAGGGGGAGAAATCACCAGTCCCGAAAAGGAGAGCAAAGAAGTTGATGCTTGGTTAATAGGCGTCCCAGCTCCTCATATGCTAAGTGCTCAAGTTTCCTCACCATTGAACACGTGACTGTCGAAATTTCCAAAACCAGGTTTCCGTCAACAAACGGTGGTCGATTTGTGGAAGAATGGGCCCAGACTCACATGTTTGTTCCTGAGACGTCTATTCCATCGGTCGCGCCGATATCCGTACTGCTGATACGAAAGTGGTGGATCTTGATGCTAAAGCGAACGTTTGGAGTTAATAATCCACGATCCTCCTCATTGAAATCCTTGATGGATGTCTCTTACTTGGTTCCCAAAGCGATTACCAAATCTGGGGATTCGTCGAGAAGAAAATGAAAACGAGGCGGTATTTGTCATTAAGTGAACAAGGGTGCCTTGATTTCTTCCACAGAGGTCCACTTACGATATAAAGGAGCATCAAATAGATTAAACTGTATCAAGCGAAGGTGTGATAAGAATGATTTGTCAATGGAGGGATTTAAACAGTCTAGCACTGCAAGTTCCGCGTTGATGAAGAAATGGACCAACCCCAGAATAATCTACGTCTTGACAATTTTCGAACCGTACCAGACGGGGTCGCTGCGGTAGGTAATTAAGCTAACAAGTAAAAGAAAACAAAAGCATTAAGTTTTATCTATGCAAGATGACAATGAATGGAAAACTCAAGAAAGCTTTGCTCTCAAGACTCACATTGCCACCTGGACGATATAAATCTCCATATCCATGCAAGGTACCTCTGCCATTGACGACGAGCTGAATGGGAATTGCAAGTAGCTCAAGTTTAGTTATCGATAGTTACAGAAAGGTGAGATCTCTTGCTTAATCAAATCCTCTTACGTTTTGACAACGAGTGAAACCGATCATGTTGCCAGTTAACTAGATTATTGAGTTGCAATCATCATCAGGGACATTGTTTACAAGAATCGAGTTCCGCTTCTTCTTTTCCCCACTCACCCGACGATTGAAAGCCACATGGATTTGGCCATTGAAGGTGAGGGTGAGTCCTCTACCTTTTCTGAATAAGACGTTGGTCTTGAGAGAAAAATCGCCTGAAGCCCCAGAGAGGAAACATAAGCTTCATTTTTTTTTTGGTTTCAATGAGAGTGATCTAAGAACCTTGAGGGACTAGTATAATGGTATCTTCCGGGCGTCCCGTGGTGGCCTGTAAACAGTCTGCGTAGGCTTTCAAAAGGGGTGGACCTATGTCTGTTTGGTTATCGGCCTACCAATTTTGAAGAGCTTCAATAACTTGCAATGACAAGTAGCCATAAGTTTATTAGTAGAGACACGAGGAATTTGGACATACTTTTGCTCCATAATCCAATACATTGCAAGTCTTCTTTGCTGCAAACGTGACGCTTATGAAGCAAAACCATACGCATAGAATCAGGAGCTTTTGATGGTGATAGGTGGTTGCGGTTTGCATGGTTTCCTTGACGTAGCTTTTTTAAAGAAAAGTGAATTGAAGTCTGTTTGGTATGAAAGGAATCCTCCGGGAAAATAGAGCTCTGTCAAAGGCGTCAGGGAGGAGAGGAACCGTAGAATGAAAAGAAAGACTTGATGCTTTTTGTAGGGTGTATTAAGTTAATTAGTATATGATGCAAACCAGTTGTTCTTGGACTTCTTTCGCGACGGAGTAAAGAGGGGTCTGGGAGGCGGGAGTGGTGAGCCCTGAAGACACTTATGTATATCCGCTACCTAGTAACCTCTTCCTTACACCCTGCAACTTGCAAGGAAAATGCCACCATTGACACATGACGCAATCAGATGGAATTGAGGCAGAATCAAGCACGATTTGTATCTGTTGCAAGAGCCCATGGCTGGACCCAGCATCAAATCTGCGAAGATCATAGAATCACATCATACAACGATTCGAAAAACTTGTTACAGCTCGTTACTGACAGTGACTGAAGTGGCGCGATGCAGGGCATATGGCACTTGATCATTCAAGTTGCCGCTAACGGCGCTATGTAAGACCGTGATCACTGTGTACAGTCTATATGTGTGTGCCATCGGCCGGTTCAAATCACGGCATCATGGAAACACATTAATCGAAACTCTTTTAGTATGTATGTGCACATGGACTGTGATGAAAGTGTTGCAGTTACGGCACCAAACTCAACCCAACCCTCTCGTTTCGGAGGGCCGAAATGGACCCCGCGAAGCCGAAGTAACTCGAGTTTGTCTGCTTTGGAGGGTCATTTGACGCCAAAAATTTCGTGCTCCCCTTTGCATGGGATGAGACCTAGAAAAACCAGCAGTCATCCATCTTGCCTTTGCGCTCACGTTTTCTTGATGAGCTGGACAAACTGTGTTGATTCATTGTAAGGACTGGCCTGCAGCACAGAGCTGGAAGAGAAGATTTGCATTAGGCTTCAGAAGGAAAACTTGAGCCTATCAGATCCCATTTGTCTTGATGAATAACTTGCCAAAAGCTTTTACCAGGGTGAGTGGTTTATGCCATATTTCTCCTGAATATGAGTCACTCATGGATATGTTGTAAAAGGAAAGGAAGAAGCATTGGCCTGGTTCACATTCCACACTTTGACTGCTAAACCTTGTTATGTGTCATAGATTTCAAGGTTTAGCATGGAATTGTGTTATATATATTTATGGGTATTCAAAGTTGGACCATAAATGCATAAACATAAACTCATAAGGCTCCGTTTGGCAGTCCATGATATCATAAAATATCATTGGAAAATCCTGCCAATCTTTTCAGGGGACCACATTTATTATCATAAGTGAAAGGTGTGTTTGGCTGGTCACACTATAACACCAAAAATCCACTGTAACAAGCAGAGGATTGTCTAGCTGTCAGCTTGCTCCTATTAAAGAGTCAAGCTGACCTTCAATATTTCCATAAAATAATTCAAGATAACAAGTAATAGATTTAATAATCAAATAATATTACAAAAATAAATGACATGAAATGTCCTTTACAGAAATTAGCGACATATCAAAAGACATCATGACAGGAGACTGTGACATGAGATGGGCAGATTTCCTCTGTCAAAGCTCCTGGAAAATTATACATCATTTCAGATTCTCAGAGATGACCGTTGAACTCCATTTCCCTTTCCAGCATCCAGTATTGGTACCTACAGTATAAAAAGAACCAGTAAACCAGGTAGCTAGATAGGATCAGTTTTAGAAGCTCAGTAATTTTCCCCATCCTTTTCCAGTTTACTTCTCTTTCCAAATATCATTTCAATACCCAGCACACCCCACTGAGAGCACCACAGATGCACCCTGTAATTTTTGCCCTTGAGTGCCAGGATTTGTTGATGGGGAATACCTCTATTAGGTTATTCCTCTGTCCATCACTTGATACACGGACCAAATACCCTCGAGTAATAGTATCTTCGAGACCCCGTTGTAGCCTTCACCTGGATATCAGACCCAGGCTTGTATCCCCGAGGGCACCGTAAAAACCCCTACAACCTGGGCCCCTCCGTTCCTTTCCATTACCTTTCCTCTAACCCAAACCATCCCATCACCCGGGGTAGCTAGAAGACTTATTGTCTTGGCATCACCGCAGCTGACACTAGCTTTGTGATAGTTGGTTCAAGGTTTATCAACCTTATTCTGATTATCCGGATTTACATATCTTTTCTTATGATATAATGGACTGCCAAATGGAGCCAAAGTAAATCTTTGGGCATAAATGAGCTGAGGCATGGTTTATGTGGGCATTTCTGTGAAAAAATGATGGATGAACTTATGTCTACACGTTGATGCACCAACTTTGAACACCACTATTAATGCCAATATGTTAATATAGTTTGTGCAATTTAGCACTAATCTCTGAGATTCATACAGCTACTCTGACCATGGTTGTCCGATTGGAAAACAAAAAATCCTCTTGAAATCTTTTTTTTTCTGCTAGCCGTATGCATACATAAACCAGATTGATTCACCAGCAATCAACCGAATGGAGAACTCCTACCATAGAGGGTGGGATTATGTGATGCAGGGTTCCAAAAAATGTTTGTCCAAGCTAGTTGAATCCTTGATAAGTATTAAGGAGCATAATGTTTGACAATGAAGACACATTTTGTAGAGGATTTTTTTTTCCTTTTCATACTTGGAAAACCTTTTCCAAATTAGATGTAGCATATAACAATGGTGGGCCAGTTAGACTGACCATAGTATGAGTGTATTGTAACACAGTGGATGTTGGCTAAAATGTAGTGTAGCATAGCCGATATCCACCGTGTCTGTGCTAACACTGCATGTGCAGGCCCCCAACAAGCGTCTGTTACACTGTGCTAACACGCTGGTTAGCAGCATGTTAGCCCTGTAGCAGCTGTGAACGGCCCGTAGCGTAGCAAAAAAACCGCTAACTTTTCACCAACACTACATGATTTCCGCACACACAACCCCCCCGGCTACGCTAATGCTTTTGTCCAAAAAGCATTGTGACCCATTGTTGCGTGTAACACACAGTGTTCAACCAGAGCCCCACTTACCTGATTCCCTTCCTAGTTAGTAGTCAACCACTTGCTGGATTGATTGTGCTGACTGGAGAGAGGCAGTTCACAGCTGTCATCATCAAGTCAATGTTTCTTGTTTTTCACCTCAGGCACCGCAAAGGAAAACACCCCCATATTTTTTCGTTGTTGTTGTTGTTGTTGTTGACAAAAGACAGGAATCCAGGCCAACACATGAATACCATGTGCTTTTTTTGGATGAACCGAGTTCAGTCCCTGTTCTCCTCAAGAAAACTACTGGCAATAAGTAGTTCCACTAGGCCAAGGGGAGTGAGCTTATATAACATCAAAACAAATTCGATGGGTGATGATTGGCTTGTTTTGCTGGAATGGGAAGACTATGTACTACATACAGCCTTCTGAGAAAAATGTGGTGTATTGGAATGTGTCATGGGAATTTAGGGCACAAGCAGGGATTGATGGCAATGAGAATGGCGTATATAATTACACACACTATAATTACTCACACACATATTGACTTGTAGATGCAACCATGGGTATTGATCTACACAATGGATGCAATTCATAATAGAAACAACAACAACAACTTATCTCATCTTTTTTTATTTAACAAGCCAAAAAATCATTGATTGAATGAAGAAACCCCCCAAAAAAAACAGTTGAGGAAACAAAACACACACATGATATCCCAACCCTGGTTATGAAATATGATCAGTTGAGAAAGAAGAAAAGATAACAACAGCTATTGCAGATATGTAAATATATATATAAATGGAATGTCTTTTTTGTGTGGATCTGTGTGGGTCAGTTTTGATATATATATATATAGATACGTAAGCACTAGAGTAATATAAGTACTTATTAAATGTGTCAACATGAATGCCAATGTATTTTCAACACTGATTATATATATAAACATCAGACTAAAAGAAATTGGAAAAAAAGAAAGAATGGAAGAGAGAGAGAGAGAGGAAGGAAGGAAAGAAAAAGGAAGAAATTCATGAGTCAGAAGAATGAACCAAAAGAGGAAAAGAAAGGAATTAAGAATGAGAATTGAGTTGAAGAAAAAAAAATTATTCTCCTAATCCCTCCAACCAACCAAAAAAAAGCACACACACACATCATGATGATAACCCCAAAAAAAGACTAAAGGATCAAAGAAAGAAAGAAAGAAAGAAAGAGAGAAAAGGAAGTGTTTTTTTAAAATTGAGGGGTTGGAGGCCCAGTAGAAGACGAGGAAGAAGAGGAGAGGGTGGGATGACTGAGTTGATGAGGTTGATGATGATTGACAGGAAGAATGGTTGAGGATTCTTTAGAAAGGTTAGAGGAAGATCGGGAGCGATAATGGGAGAGTTTGAGGGGTTCGATACTAAGGTTTAGATGAGGTTGTTGATGAGGATGATGAGGATGGTGTTGAAGATGTTGGTGATGATAAGGACGAAGAGGCTGAGTGGGAAGGTATTGAGAAGACTGTGAGGGAGAGGGATGGCTGGGGTTGTTGAGACGGTTGATGGAGGTGGCGAGTTTGGAGGAGGTGGAGGGATGGGCGGTGGTGTCGTGGGAGGAAGGATAGGTAGACATGGAGGGGCTATCGAGCTCGTCGGACTTGGCAGTGGTCGAGATGGCTCCGGTGAGGTTGTGGACGCGAGGGTTGTGGTGGCTAGACGCGCTGGCGCTGGTCGAGGAGGAGGTGGGCGGCAAGAGGATGGAGAGCACGGAGCCGTTGGACGAGGCCGATCCGGTCTTTGTCGTCCCGCCATGCACCCGGCTCCGCTGACTCGATTCTTTGGCGTCCGTCTGAGGGTAGTAAGAATACACCCGATCAGAGAGGTACTCGAGCGACTGCTCCTCGTCTTCAAAACTTGCGCGCCCCGCCCCCTGGCTCGAGAAGGTTGCTGTCGTCATCGTCGCGCTCGTCGGGCCCCCCAGGGGGGATCCGTTGGGATGAGCCGGCGAGGAGTCTGGAGTTCCATCTTCTATGTTCCGTGGAGCCGATGGATGATTTCCGCGATTCCTTTGGACTCTCTCCGGCCTTCTCATGGAGTTGGTGGCCAGCGGTTGTTGGGAGAAATTCTCGTCATTCGCTCGGCTCATCCGACGGATCGCCGTGCCATTCCTTCCTAGTTGTCGACGGATACTCCGTCTGGCAAAGTCGCGATTTTTGTTCCATCCCTTGATATGCTGGGACTCGATCTCATCGTCTAGAAGGTTCACCAGCGGTCGATCGTCATCATATTCTTCTGGGTGGAGATTCAGATTCGAATTGGTTGTTGTTGTTGTTGTTGTTGTTGTTGAGTTGGATGTACTTTGTCGAGGGGTTTGTTGTTGTGGAGGAGAGGCACGGGAGTGAGATGAGGAGGAGGATTCACTGCGATCTCGAGTGTAAGGGTTTTTGGTTCCTGCTACGTCGCGAGTGCCATTGTTACTACCGGGACTGGCCGCATTAGGGTTGGCGCTGGCAGTTCGAGGGGGGATATTTCGGATGGTGGTACTGGACGGTAGTTTGACTAATAAGTCTGGATTGGCCTTCTTCAGTCGGATTAGTTTACTGAACTCAGCCATCATCGACTGTCTGGAATCATCCGTTTGAACTGAGCAGAGTAGTCCGACCATCTGTAATCGTTTGAGATGCATGTGTTCGGAGGATTGAGAGTCGATGGAGCCGGGTGAGTTGGATGATTGTGGGAGGGCGTTGGGATCATAGAGCATCACGAATAGCTTATAGAGACGTGCGTAGATGGGTACGATCAGATGTTCACGGAATGCGATGAGTGCGAGTTTTCGGATATCGATACCTTGGATGACTTCCTGATCCGCTCGAGCGTTAGGAGAGCCAGTCGAACGGTTTTTGGGTTGTTGAGTGATAGGATTATTTCGATTGGATTGACGGAACAAGATAGAACTCGAACTGGAGCTGAACAGGCTGGCATTGGTAGTAGCTTGATGTAGTAGATGCTGTTGTTGGAGACGTTCCTGGAGGACTTTATTATTTTTGCTTTCGATCATATTTAGCAAGTTTTCGTCCGACATGAGTGGTAGAAAGATGGCTTCTAGATAGGGCAAGACGCCGGTGAAGAAGAAGTGCCAGACTTCGAAGACCCGGACGAGTAGTCGTTCGTCTGTGAGCTGGTCTGGTTGAAGTTTGTTATTGAGGATCATGACGCCATTGGCCAGTAGTTCAGTGATATCAGAGTGTAGTTTGATGATTGATTTTGATGGTGAATCGGCAATGGTCTTATGGATATGTTGAGAGACAAAGTCGTTAAGATCTTCGATGAAACCTTTGTGCCCTTCACCGTTGCTTTTTTAAGTAGTTAAAGAGGTCAGGGTCAGCATTCACCTAATGAGATGATGGATTGAATGCTTGAGGAGACTGACAATAGTGGGATGACTCTTAGGATGACCTGACTCCAAACGTCGCCCGGTTTGAGAATCAATCCGCTGAGGTTATGGTTTGATTCGGTAGGGGGGTTTGGATTGTGATGAGAAGAGGATGAGTTGAGTAGGTTGTTGGGATAGGATGATGGATCTGGTTTTGAGAGTGAGAGTAGGGTTTGATTGTTGTTGATGGAGGCGAGTGTTGAGGAGGAGGTGATATGGCGGATGACTGGTTTAGTGGTGGATGAGATGGTTGAGAAGTTCATGGTATTGCTTGAGTTGTTGTTGTTTGAGGTGTTGTTGTTGTTATGATGTGATGAATGGGCTAGATTGGCGGCTGAGTTGACGAGGAATCCGATGGAGGATAGTCCGATTCCGGTGATCGAAGAGATGCTGCTCTCCTTCTTGTGGTTTTTGATGGTCGTATGTGGTGGTGGTGGTGGGTGGTGGTGTTGGTTTGTGGTTGAGGATGAGTTGTTTGAGATGATGGATGCAGCCCTGGGTGAGGATGGTTCTTCGTCTGGCCTGTTTGTGGTTGTGGTTGTAGTTGGGCTTGGATGTTGTTGACCGTGTTGTTGTTGTTGCTGTTGACCGTGTTGTTGTTGTTGTTGCTGTTGACCGTGTTGGTGGTTGTTGACTGCTGTGACTGGTGAGCTGGTTGGGGTTGTGGTTGAGCTGGTTGGGATTGAGGTGGTGATGGTGGTGGTGATCCGCTTGAAGAAATCCGGTCGGCTGAAGGTGAACAGGTTAGTGGTCGTTGTTGCTGTTGTTGGCTTGGTCAGCTGTAGTTTGCTGTACAGTTGGCTGCTGTGATGTGATTTGGTGGTTGCGGTTGAGCGTCTTGTGGCTGAGTGAGTGATATAATGGGTTTCTGCTGATGTTGAGCTTCGGTCGGCCTTCTGCTTCTTGTTCGACTTGGTGGTGATATGACTAAGCTCATGCTGATGATCAGTGGTGGCTGTTGTTGTTGTTGCTGCTGCTGCTGTTGTTGTTGTTGTTGTTGTTGTTGTTGTTGCTGCTGTTGTTGCTGTTGCTGCTGTTGGTTGCTGCAGGGTGCTGGTGCTGTTGTTGTTGCTGGTGGTTGTTATGGCTGATTGAGGACTGTTGTTGTTGGTGGCTTCGCTTGTACAGTTTGTTGGTTCAGTTGGTAATCTGGTCTTGATTGGTTGAGCCATCCTATAGTGTGCCTGGTTCTTATCAGAATTCCTGATTTTCTTTCTTGACTCTTTCAATTTTCGGATGTTTAATGAGACTGTAGTGTTGCAGGTGTTCCTTTGAGTGGGCTCTTTTGTGAATCCAACTGCCAAGCTCATCGTTTATCATCATCAGCCCATCCCTTCATCCTCCTCCCCCCGTTTGGATTTACTCGAAAAAGATCTGTGCGCCGGGTGGTAATGTATGCATTTACTGCAGATGCCCTCCAGAAAACTATGTGTTTACCTAAACAATCTTAAAGTTCATCCGACCCCTCCCAAACCTTAAATTGGAAAGAATTCACAAACTTGCATCACCCCCTCCCGAGTAGAACTTGGGCATAGCGCGTCTCGCTCGAACAGGAGCCAGGACCCACTTATTTATATACATACATAGCTCTGTAATGCGTGTCCTGGAGGTATTCTTTTTTGATTATCCACCCTACTGCAAGTCCAAATAGGAGTGAACAATCTGTCCTTGAATTCTCAACTACACACAACAATCTTCACTGTGGCAGGTTGTTTGGAATTTCAGAAGTTCTGAAACCAACTAAACAATTGAAGTGATGATCAGGATTGATATCATAGTGGTGACATAAAACCCATGAATTTCAAAACAAGAAAAAAAAATGATTTTAATCATGATGAACCTTAATTAAAAAGATGGTGTATGATTTGTGGAAATGAATTAAACTTGTTTTGTTTGCTGGAGATTTCAAATGACATTATAGTCATGCCATACAAAAAAAAGGGAAGACAATGCAGGATAAGAACATCAGCCAAAGGATGGTGAGAATTGTAAGAAAAAAAAGAATGGAATTAAATAACAAGTGGTTTTTATAGGGGGTTGGAAAAACGACTCCCTAAAATTTGCCGACGACTCCCATTTTGGTCGAGGGGGTCGGACGGGAGTCGTCTTTCCAATTCCCCCTGGGGGATTGGGAGTCAACTTCCCAATTTTTTTGTATTAAAATTTATTTTTTTGGGTGGGAGTCGGCGCCCAAAACCCTCCTTGGCAAGTGGGAGGTTTGTGGAGTCGCCTCCCTCCCACTGGCCGGGGGGATTCCCTCCGGTCATTGAGACTGTACAGTCTCAATGACCGGAAAGAATCCCTTCCGGTCATCAAGATCATACAATCTTGATGGCCGGAAGGAACCCCTTCCGGCCATCGAGACCAATCTTTGTGACCGGAAGTTCCGGTCGGTCTAGGCTCTACACCTCATCGATCGGAAGGAT